CCTTGGGTACTGGCCCAGCCACCTTCCAGCTCTGACTGATGTTCAGCAACGCCACCCCCCATACCCCGAGGAGGCCAGCACTGTCTGGTCATGGTGTGTCAGTGAATTCTCTGCCCCACTCCTCCCCTCAGGGTCCCAGTGTCTGGTAAGCCTTGGAGTGGATGGATATAGACACATTTCATTTTCCCTTCACAGGCAGCAAAGGACATTAGCCAGGCTTCCTGAACCCCTGGCCCCCAGGCCACCAAAGGTCTCAGGGTTTGCTCCCACTCCCAACCCTCACGGAAGGTAAGCCTGGAACTGGAGCCAGATGTTGGAACATCAGGACACACACACACACACACACACACACACTAACACACACATAATACAACACATTAGAGACCGAGTTCCTCCCAATGTTCCCAGCCACTAAGACACAACCCTACAGAAACCCAGTTACACCCAATGACATGTGGGCACACACTCGGAAATCTAAATGGAAAATCCCCAGGCCAGAGAGCTCAGCACCTTCCCCACTCAGTCTTGCCCCGCCCCGCCCCGCCCCCCCACCTGGCTGCCAGTCTGGAAAACACTGACTTCAGAGAATGGCCAGGGGGCTACAGGTGGTGGCCTGCCTTCCTCAGAAGCTGACCCTCCTCCACCCTCTCCTCTTCAGGCTGCCCCCATTCCCCTCCTGACCTTTATTCCTCTTAGCAGAGCCGATGCCCTCTTGGCACACCTGTACCCTCACAAACACTCCTTGCCACTTGCAGTCAAAGGCACATTCGGCCACGTCTGCTGAACCCCCATTCTCCTGGTCACACACACAGTCTCAGACACACACCAGCAGCTACACCTACGCACTGACCATCGCAGGCCCACGCAGGCACATCCGCCTCATGCTCGTGCACTCACAGGGTTGTCCAATCTGTGCCTCCTGTACCTTCCGAGATGTCTACAGAGACCCTTCTCCCTGTGCAGATGGGGGAGTAAGGCAGAAGAGGCCCTACTTCATGGGGCAGATCAAAAGCTGACCTTATCCTGTCCTTCACTGTCTTAACTGTGATCCTAGCAGCTGTCGCCGAAGCCTTTCCCTGGGAGTATTCAGCCCTAACTCCCCTCACATCCTGCACCTCGGTGTGGAATAAGGCAGTCCGAGCAGAATGGCTGCATTTGTCTGTTGTTCACCACCTACAGCCCCTAGAAGATGCAGGTCCAGAACAAGCCAAGCTTCTGGGCTAGCTTCTGTGTCTTTCTAGAGGATCAGAAGTCTCCCAGGTTGACAGAGTTGTCTGAGAACTGAGGAGAGGAAGGAGAAGGAAGAGTGTGAGGAAGGCAGCAATCTGGAAGCTCCACTGCCCTTTGGATTCACCCACCTCCTGAGGCCTCTGCTTCCAGCCAATCCACCCTCCATTAAGGCTCTCAGCATTTTGGGATGTCTGCCATCAAGACCCCACCATACCTTTGGGGTGGTATTTCATAGACCTTGTTCCTTAGAATGCCTAAGTCAGGCCAGGTGGGGAGAATTTCAGTGGCTCTGTTTTTTAAACCCCTATCCTGGCCTGGCTCCTGGGCTCCTTCGACCCCTGGCTAACCTCGAGGCGGGAAGATCCACACCCTGGTGGTGGCAGTGTGGGTGTTGTTGATATCCATGACCATGGTAGCGAGATTGGTGGCTGCACTGGTGGCAGTTGGGCCTTGGGGTTTCTGCCGGTACCTTCTGTGGCTGCGCTTGAACATCCTAGGAAACCGGGGCCTGGGCCAGCCCATACCTGGCCTGTGGTGGGAGGAACTCATGCCCCGGGGCCGAGAGGCACGGACAAGCGAAGAGGGCCCCATGGGCACAGGGAGCTTCTGTAGTGTGCCTGAGGAGTGCTGCTGACCAGGGTGGCAGCTGAGGCCTCTATGACATACAAAGTCTGCACAAGGGTGGTGCTCTTTGTTACAGGTCCTGGCCCCCAGCCCCTCCTCATGGCTCCCACCCACTCTTCTCCATTGGGCCTAGCCTAAGAGCCAGCCCAAGAGCCACAGAACCCCAGCTTGGCCCCTTGGGGAAAGGAACTCTGAGTAGGGGAAAATCACTCCCTCACTTTCTCACTCATCCAGATTAACAATATTTGCAATGTTTATTGAGCACTTACTACATGCCGGACACTGCTGAGCACTTTACTAACATTATCTCATTTAATCTCAAAACAACCCTGCAAGGAGATTCTATCATTATCCCCATTTGTATACAGTCAATTCTCATTATTCCCGATAGTTATTTTCTATAAAGTCACCAAGAACACCAAATACGGAACCACTGCTCCTAGGGGAAAGATAGGTTCCTGCAACCCTCTGGTCACATTTTTGTCAATGCATAACCTGATATTATGTGTAGAGATACCTTCTTTAATATGTACTGTTGAGTCATTAACATTGAATTCATGGCCAACAGCACTATAACTTGTGCCTGTATGAAACTTACCTAACATGTATTTCCTCTGTAAGGCACATCCCAGCCTTCTTGCACTTAGGAACACTGGATAGCACTTAAGCACTACAATTGGGGGCCATTTTAGACAGCAAAACCACCAAAAAAAACCCCACAAAATGTGAGAAAATGGGGCACTAAAAAGACCACCAAAAAAGAACATTGTTTACTTTACAAGAGCCGAAACAAGAAGGCAGAGAGTCCTGTTGTTCCACAGACCTCATCTGGAAATGTGTGTGTTGGACGACCCAAATGTTTTGCCTCTGCTCATGTCTATGAATGACAGCGAAAGTGCCACAGCATTGCTTTTGGAGTTACAAATAAATTTCAGTCAGTAGATGAATTCTCAGATGTGGAATCCGTGAATAACAAAGACCAACTGTATAAGGAAACTGAGGCTCAGTGAGGTGAAGTCACATAATTAGAGGCAGACAGGGGTCCAAATCCATGTTGGCCAAGAGAGAAAGCCCAGAGCATTTAACTCTTGCTATTCTGCGACTCATTTATTCACTCATTCATTTAGGAAATGTTCACTAACAACATCGTCTGTGCTGGGCACCAGGGACACAGATGAATGTGACCTTGTCCCAGTTCTTCCTGAGATGAAAGAGAATGCCATGTGGACACTCGGTACAGGTGGAGGAACAGCTGGATCCCCTGGGGATGGAAGAGGTGCTAACCCTGGGTTCATGTCCTTTCTTGTAGGAGACTGGCTCTGCACGGCCTGGAACTGAGTTGTTGTGGGACTTTGGACCTGCCCCTTCTCCCTCCGCATCTCAGCACCCTCTCCCTTTCCCTCCTACCCGCTCTGTAGCCCCCTTCCCAGCCTCCCCTTCTTTCTGTTCCTGAAGAAGACCTTACAGGCCTCACAGGCCTCACACTCCTCTTAGCACCCCAGCCTCTACTCTTGTCACCTTCAGTCTCAAAATATGACCTTGCCCCCAACAACTTCTAGCCACTATAACTACAAACCCACCTGCTCCTGCCCTCCTCTTCCTCAGGCTTCCTCCCCTGCTCTTTGTGGAAGCCAGGCCTGCCTCCTTAGAAACTCCATCGATGTAGACAGCCTGCTTGGTGGTTAAAATGTGGACTCTGGTGCCAGATTGGGACGGAATCCTGGCTTTGCCACTTACAAACTGTGTGTGATTATGGCAAGTACTTGACCTCTCGGTGCCTCCACTCCCCTGTATTTAAAATGGAGACAAAAAGAAAGTCTACCTTATAGGACTGTTGTGAAGAGGAAACTGCATACTTAAAATATGTAGTGCATTTAAAACATGACCAGTATCATGAGTGTAGTCTGTAATTTTATTGGCCCTTCTCTCTCGTCTCTTCAGCTGTCTTCTTCCACTGTAAAAACAAAACAAAATTAAAAATCCACTTCCTCCATTCCACAACCCTTCTGGCTGTGTCTCTTCCCTCTGACCTCCTAGCTCTGTGTTCATTCCCTTATGTCTCAAAGCAGGAAGAAAATCTCACTTTAAAACCCCATAACTATTCTATTATACGGACCAGGAAATAGAGGCTTAAAATCAAGTCTAAGAAATGGCCCCAGGGTCACACAGCTAATAAGTGACGGAACCAGGATTCAAGCACCTGGTCTGAGTGACCCGAAAGCCAGAACTTTCCCAGCACCTCAACATCAGGAGTGTTGGAGTGGACGGTGGGACAGGCAGTGGGAAGGGTTACTGAGGATGGGATTCCGGAGCCTTAGCCCTGGGGGTGACTCCTTCATGGGCCCATGGCGCCACCTGCCGGCAGAAACGGAAAGGGTGTACGCGGAGTGCTAAGGAAAGACTGGGCGGGGGAAGAGAGAGAAAAAGGTGGGGAGGGAAAGGAGAGAGGAGGAACGGAGGGAGGAGAAAGATGGGGAAGTTTAGGTTTTGTGGAGGGAAGAGGACTAGGAACCATTTGCTGATTAGAAGAGAGCAGAAGCTGCCAAACCTTGGTCATTTCTTTGAAAGTTGTGTGTGTGTGTGTGTGTGTGTGTGTGTGTGTGTGTGTATGTGTGGAGAGAGAGAGAGAGAGAGAGAGAGAGAGAGAGAGAGAGAGAGCGAGCACGAGCCTTTAAGTATGTACCTCAGATGTTATTCTATTGTTAGTTTGCTGGGAGTCAGTCCACAAAGAGTTCAGTGTGTGTGTGTGTGTGTGTGTGTGTGTGTGCATTCAGGAGCAGCAGCAGGTGTTTATGTGTGTAACTACGCTGAACGTGTGAACATACGAGTGGCAGCATGGGCAGACGTGTGCCCGTGGCATGCAGGGTATGTGTGAGTGTCTAGCAGACGCAGGGAAAGACGCGTTTGTGCACTATCATGGTGTGGGACACACAGAAGTTCTGGGGAGCCACCTGTCCCACCCCGCCTGTTCACCCTTCCTGGGATCAGGAAGGGTGTTGCCCATGGCTGGTGTTGCCAGGTGGAGGCCTGCTGCTGTGGTTGTGGGGACCCGTCTCCAGGCAGCAGGGGGCAGCAGGGGGAAACGGGAAGGGTGGGGCCTGCGGGCGGGCAGAAGGAGGCCTTTAAAGCAGCTACCCGGCCTGCAGGTGAGCAGTGGTGTGTGAGACCCAGCGTCCCTCTGCCTGCCCACTTGGTGGCAGCTCCCTGGAGCTTTTCAATCCCTTCTGGAGCCTCAGCAGATCCTTCTTTCAGAATTCGCTGCCGAGAGCCCTGAACAGGTGATGACATAGGATAGAGATTATCCTACGAAGCAAACAGATTCGGGGAGCTGGAAGGGCCACAGAGAAGGTCCTGGAAGGGTCTGGGGTGGGTGTGGGGAGGAACCCAGGATATATACGGGCCAGGGAAGGGCATGGAGTGTGGAGTGACCTACAGCATGGGAGTCAGGCTTGGGATGCCAGTGGAGGACACTGGGGCGTTAGGGTCTCAGAGTGTGAGGTGCTGGTAGAAGGCATGTGTGGTATAAGGGGCAGGGGCGTCAGGATGGGAACTGGGCAAAGTTCTGAAGTGTCAGATTCCAGGTGCAGGGGAAGCTTGGTGAGCTATGGGTCCAGGTCTGGCATGTCACGATCCAGAAGCCAGGGCCAGCCCAGGTAGGGGAGAGGAGAGAAAGTCCTGACTCACACATGTCTGCTTCCCAGGAGCCACCATGCAGTGCTTCGGCTTCCTTAAGACCATGATGTTCCTCTTCAATCTGCTCATCTTTGTAAGTATGGAGGTTGTGGGCTCTTTGGGGCTCCCTACAGGAGCAGGTCACAGCCTAAGCAGAGCCCAAACTGGGAAAAGGGAGACTGCTGGGCCCAGACTCTGTCAAGTTTTCCCTCATGAGTGGGATGCAGAGGTCTCCCCAAAGGCTGCTTCCTGGTCCCCATAGCCGCCAGGCTGCCATACAAGGGTGTGTGTGACGAAGGGGATAGAGAAGCTTAGGGTAATTCCTCCCTTTCAGGAAGCTTCAGCCCAGGCTTAGGGTAGCGTAGGGGAGGCTAGCAGGAGGGATTCTGTCCTTTTTATAGGTGTTGGGGGCACAGAGAAAAAAGAGGTTTGCCTAAGATCACCCAGTATGGAAGGAAATTCAGGGGCCTTTGTATGACGGGGAGCTGAAAGGAGAGGGCTCACGTCTTATGAGAGTAAAGGGTCTATCTCGAGCAGTCCTTATTCATTCAACAAACGTTCATAGCCCAAGACTCTATGCTGGGTTCTGGGGTGGCCGGTAAACAAGGCCATTCTCTGCCCTCGAGGATGTCAGGTCCAGTAAGCCAGACAGGCAGACAGTAACAGCGCAGTAAGTTTGGGCTTAGCACAGGGACTATGGGAGCCCACAGGAGGGGCTTGAACCCAGCCTGGTTGGAGAATACTTCCTGGAAGATATAGCCAAAGCTGGGAATTTGCACTAGGTGGGGGAGTTTTAAAGCATACATAAATGCTCAGAGGTAATGAAACCAGATATTGTTCAGAAAACCAGGAACAGATTTCATAGGGCATGTTTGAAAAGCCGAGCAACGAGGCGTAAACCCTGAAGATGGTGGTGAAGATAGGGAGAAATGGACCAAGTGGAAAAAGGACAAAGCCTTAGAATGGTGGCTGAGGGACGGCAGAAGGGGCAAGGGAGACAGGTCTTGGAGATGGCTGGCATATCTCTGGCATGGGCAACGTGGGAAGGGAAGAGGGGGATGTCCCACAGGCAGCTGAGTATCCAGTGGAAGTGCAGCTCAGATTGGAGCTGGCCATGGACTTCTTTTCTTTTCCTTTTCTCATTGCGACAAGGTCTCACTCTGTCACCCAGGCTGGAATGCAGTGACCAATCAGAGCTCACTGCAACCTCGACCACCTGGGCTCAGGTGATCTTCTTGCCTCTGCCTCTGCCTCTGCTGGGACTAGCCACCACACCCGACTAATTTTTTAAATTTTTTGTAGAGACAAAGTCTCACTATGTTGCCCCGGCTGGTCTCAAACTCCTGGCCTCAAGTGATCCTCCTGCCTCAGTCTCCCAAAATGTGGGGATTATAGGCATGAGCCACCGCGCCTGGCCTGGAGCTGGCCATGGATATTTAAAAGTCATGTGCACATAGGTGGTCACCGAAGCCACGGGAGTGGATGAGAGCACTTGGAAAGTGAACTCTGGAAAACCCAACTTATTGGGGATAGGCAGAAAAATAGCCACCATGAAGGAGATTGAGAAGGAGCAGTGGGAGACGGGGAGGAAAATAGGGAGAGCCAGATATCAGAGAGGCCAAGGATATGGCCTATGAAATGTCCACTGGATTTAGCACAGGGTGGCACCAGAAACCTTGGAGCCACGTTAGAGTGGGTTAGAGCGAGTAAAAGGTGAGGAAGCAGAGACGAATTTAGATGTGTAGATGTATAGATCAACTCGGAGAAATTGGGCTGAGGTGGGTAGACTCTGTGATGTGGTCTGTGCTTTGGGCTTCCTTTGGCAACAGGGAGCTAGTTTTCATTCATGAATCTGGAGGAGGCAATAGGTTTCCAGAGGCTCTGGCCTGAGAGGGTTAAAGGCAAATCCGGTTTGGTCTCTGGCCTCTGTTGCCCAGACCTTGCCAGGCTGGGCAGAGCAGGATAGGGCAGGCCTCCGGCTCCTTGAAATTCGACCCTGCAGCCTAGAAGCCCAGCTTTCTGTCCTTGAGCAAACATGCCTGGCATCCAGCCACAATCTGTCACCTCACTCCTGGTTCTGGCCTCAGTTTTTATAGCTGGAAAGTGGGGACTGGGCACCAAGGTGATGTCAGGCTGATCCGCCCACTGAAGCCCTGGGTCAGGGAGGCTTTGCTGTCAGAGCTATGGGAACTGGACAAGGCCCTCCCCAATCTGGGCCTCAGGACTTCCTCTGAGGTTTGGCGTCGAGCTGGAGAGCATTTAAGAGCAGCTCTGGCTGTATTCCCCCCACCAGGTGCCTCAGTTTCCACTTGTGAGGCGAGGAGGTCTAGTCTGGATGAGGGGAAAGGCCTGGAGTTGGATCTTGGAGAGGAGCCAGGGGGCCTCAGGGTGGGTGAACCTTCTCCGCCTCCGTGCTCGCCAAGGTTGGGAGCAGGTGTAAACTCAGCTGCACCTCTGTCGCTAGGGTGACCATCGAGCCTGTTCAACGCCACCGCCCCGCTGTTTCCACCTATCAGAGGACAGAGGTGTTCAAGGCACCTGTAGCCCAGAAAGGAAATGGGAGACTAGCCCTCACCTGCCTGTTTTCACTCCTAGCTATGCGGCAGGATCCTGGCGGCAGTGAGGGAAAGTCTTGCCCCCCGCCCCACTCTGTGGATATTTCTAGAACCCCCAAGCTCATTTATATCTGCCCAGGTGTGCAGCCTTATCCTGGCTATGGGTGTCTCAGCTCCCGTTTTTCTGGCTCTAGAGGGTGTTTCCCTCCCTAAGGATGAGTTTTTAGACTTCATAGCCAATAGAGGGGGAAGTTTCTTGGACCCCACCCCGCTGACTTAACTGTGTGGTAATGAGCCTGCCTGACCTCTCTATCCCCAGCTATGTGGCATAGCCCTGTTGGCAGTGGGCATCTGGGTGTCAGTCGATGGGCCGTCCTTCCTGAAGATCTTCGGGCCACTGTCGTCCAGTGCCTTGCAGTTCGTCAACGTTGGCTACTTCCTCATCGCGGCTGGTGCTGTGATCTTTGTTCTTGGTTTCCTGGGCTGCTACGGTGCTCACGCTGAGAACAAGTGTGCCCTCATGATGGTGTGTCAAACCCAGCTCCACAAGCCCATGGCCAAGGGTCCCCTCACTCTTGACATCAGGCCCTGGGGATCCCCAAACCCTGCTTTGGACTCCAGGAGCCTCAGCATAGGGACCCCTGCCTCATTTTTTCAGGGGGTGGACTAGGGCAAGGAGGACATAACGGACTGTCTCTCCCTAAAACCCAGACCCCTGTTCCCCACTCAGTTCTTCGTCATCCTCCTCGTCATCTTCATTGCTGAGGTTGCAGCTGCTGTGGTCGCCTTGGTGTACACCACAATGGTGAGATGCTGGGATGGGGCAAGGGAGGAAGACTGGGCAAAGCCCTGGAAGGAGGCTGTGGCCTGTGAATGGCCACCTTCTCTACCAACCCCTAAACACTGGCCTGCCCAACTCAGGCTGAGGACTTCCTGACGTTGCTCATCGTGCCTACCATCAAGAACAACTATGGTTCCCAGAAAGACTTCACCCAAGTGTGGAACTCCACCATGAAAGGGGTAAGGTGGGCTAGGGGAGATTTTGGGGTAGAGAGAAAGAAGCAAAACCCCACCAACCACGCTCCCCATCTTGTTTCCAGCTCAACTGCTGTGGCTTCAACAACTACACGGATTTTGAGGGCTCACCCTACTTCAGCGAGAACAACAACACCTTTCCCGCATACTGTTGTACTGACAATGTCTATGTAAACGACACAGCCAAGGAACCCTGCACCATGCAGAAGGCCGAGAACTCAACTGTACAGGTGTGGGCCGGCATAGGAGGGTGGGGATTGTTTCAGTGGCCTCAGAAGTAGCAAGTGAGGATGGGGGTAGGGCAGCTGCAAACTATAAATGCTCTCCCCTCCCCCAAGGGGTGCTTCGATCAGCTTCTGGATGACATCCGAACCAATGCGGTCACCGTGGGTGGTGTGGCAGCCGGAATTGCGGCCCTAGAGGTAAGCGGATGAGGAGGCTGGGGCTGGGATGTGGCCAGTGGACCGGGGCTGCTTGACACATCTCTGAGGCCTCTTTGGAGGAAACAGACTTCTAACAGAGCTTCATGTAGGGGGTTTGGGGGGCAGGGGACCAATGCTTCAGGATCCCAATCATGTCCTCTCATCTCTCTCTGTTCCTCCCCACCAGCTGGCTGCCATGATTGTGTCCATGTATCTGTACTCCAATTTGAAATAAGACTGCTTCTGTCTCTGCCACTACTGCTGCACATGGGAACCGGGAAGAGGCACCCTGGAACGGCCAAGAAGCAGTGACCAGATTGGGGACAAGATCTAACAGTGTCAATTGGGCCAAAGTGGGCCTGCCTTTTCTGCCCCAGACTTGGGGCTAAATAGGAACCATACCTTCGAGACTGTGCCTGACTTTTCCTTCCATTGGTGGGGCTGGGGCCCACCTGTTCCAGAGCTTCTAAATAGTCAGTTCTCCTGTCCCTTCCCCCAGTCTCTTCCTGAAACCCTTGGCATCCCCTTGGGCCAAGGAGGGCTCTTGGTGATCCCAGTCAGTACTCCACTGGGGCATGAAACAAGGCACCTTATAGCCTGGACATATGTGAAATCAGCAGAGCCACCAGGCAGTAGTGCAGAAGGCACTTCAGAACACATAAACCAATTGAAATGTTTCCGTTTGGACTCTTTGTATATCCTTGGAGAGAGGGGCCCATCTTGCCTAAACTGGCCTCAGATTCCTGTGGGGCTGCTGACTCAGAAGCCCCCTGGAAAGACAGCAGCAGGGAAGTGGGGTGGTTATTTCTCCCCTGCGTTTGGGTTCCACGCCTGGGAGGGAGCCTAAGAGGGATGGCCAAGAGGGCACGAGGAAGTGGGGGCTGGGCCAGTCTGCCTTCTTACAACCTGGGAGGACTTTGCCCTGAAACTGCCCCCTCCTGGGTGGGGGCACTGGACTGGAAAGCTATGAAAATAACAAGCTCATGCCCAAGTAGGGGAGGGAGACTGGATTTACTGCCATAGCAATAGGAAAGAGTCACTCCTTACGCTCTGGGAATCCCTCCAGGAGGCCCCATTGGAGGGTCCAGGCTGCCTACTCTTCCCATCCAGGCAAAGCCTCAGATCTGTCCCTGTGTTGGGGATGTCAGAAAGAACTCCATTTATTCTTTGGTGCTGGTGCTGGCCTACCTGGTGCTCCTCAGACCTAATCTCTTATTTAGCCCTAACCATCCCCCCGGCAGCAAGTGGGGACCTGGGGCTAGGAAAGGCCAGGCCACTTGCCCCAGTCCCACAGCCTTCAGTGAAGAACTGAGCCTGGGTTCAAGCCCAGACCGACTCCAGAGCCTGGTGGTCCTGGCTGACATAGTAACAGCTCCACTCGAAGGGGCACCTGGCCAGAATGGCCCTGACACAGACCTGATAGCTGTTGAGCCAGGAGTGCAGCATTAACGAGGTTGGCTTCAAGCCAGAACCCAGAGAAGGTGAAAAAAATAAAATAAAAAAGAGAAAAAAAAAGAGGGAGGCTATAGCGGGATATCGCGTCTGCTACCAAGCAAAGCCCAGCCTGACAAACCAGTCCCCTTCCTCTCTTCTCTTTGACCCCTGTATCCCTCTTCCCGGACTTTTCCAGGGAAGCCTGGGATTACCATCCCCTTGCTGAGCCCAGAAAGGAACAGGGACCTGGCCAGAGCCATGTAGTGCCTAAGAGCAAGTCTGTGAGGCCAAGACCAAGAACCTCCTGGGCTGAGCAGGGAGACGAATTAGCCCACCTCAGCCCTTCGCCACCACTGTGCCTTTCACAAAACTCCCCTTCGCCAGGCGCCTGCCTGCATAAAGGCTGAAAGGAGTTTGTTTGCCCAGGGCGGGCCTCCACCTCATCATGGGCTAATTGCTTCTCAACCTGGCTGTTGTGCCACTATCTGTAGCTCTAGCAAACACCAAAGGCGTCAGGGTGGTGAGAAATATTCAAGCTATACGCCACCTATGCCATCACCGAGCTGGGCTCCAGGCACCAGTGGAGACAAGGGCAGAGGACAGGCAGAAGGACGGGTATTCTAATCAGTTCCTGCCTTCTTGACCAAGGTTATATACTTTTTTTTTTTTTGAGACAGAGTCTCACTGTCACCTAGGCTGGAGTGCAGTGGTATCATCATAGCTCACTGCAGCCTTGAACTCTTGGGTTTGATTCTCTTGCCTCAGCCTCCTGAGTAGCTGTGACTATAGGTGACGTGCTATCATGCCTAATATTTTAAAAAAATTTTTCTGTAGAGACAGGGGTCTCACTATGTTGCCCAGGCTGATGGCAAACTCTGGGCCTCAAATGATCCTCCTGCCTCGGATTCCCAAAGTGCTGGGATTACAGGTGTTTGCTACTGCACCTGGCCCGGCTTCTATACTTGCACAGAGGCAGGCACTGTTCTTAAGTCCTTCACAGATCCCTTAAATGTCGTGCCCCCCTGCCATGGGCGATCTTACCCACTCCCTCTGGACAATCTCATCCATTTTCTGGTGCTTCTATGAAATCTTACTTAGATATTCCTAACCTCTTTGGGTCACTAGCTGTAGGAGAATCTGATGAAGACCATGACCCTTTTCTCCACAAAAACAACCAGATATGGAATTCTGCAGAGTACCCTAAGGGCCACAGACTCATTTGCTCCTACGCTTCCATCTCTAGCCCAGGCCTAGTCTCCTGAATGACCTCACCTAGTCCTGTCCCATCCCCTTCCTTCCCACCTCCACTATTTTCACCTGCTCTCCCATTCTCTCCTCCAACTCCCAAGAATTCCTTTTTGTTCTCTTGCTCCACCCCTGGGGACAGGTGCCTGGCCCAGACAAGCTAGGGAGGAACCAACCAGCCTGGCAGTAGGGTGCGGTGGCTGCTCCAAGCTCAGCCCCGAGTAGGGTGGGGCTAACGTGAGAGTGTCCTAGGGTGGAGCCTGGGGAAAAACCTCGGCCTTTCAGACTCGGGCATCCCCTGGTGGCCAAATGGCCCCAAATGGAAGATAAACTCTGGAGGATAGTAACGAAAACTCACTATCCATCACAACTGTTTTCTCCCCCACCTCCTCTCCCTCTCTATCCCTCTCTCTCTCTCTCTCTCACACACACACACACACACACACACACACACACACACACACACACACACACACCATCACAAGACACATTCCCAGAGGTTTTCTCCTTTTTTAATCAATGACCAACTTATCCAACTTTGGAAATCTGGACAAATGGACAAAGAGGAGGCTGAGAGGCCTGGTCCAGTGTCTAAGGGTCTCTGAGTGAGTCTGTGTCAGCATGTGGGCCCCAGCTGGGCCTGTCCATGGGTTGGGCATAGCAGTTTCCTGAGTAAGAGCCGGCCCTACCCTCAGGGCAGCACAACAGCCCAGAAAGAAATCCAAGCCCCCCAGGTTTGGCCTGTTTTCAAGGCCCTCAGGACAGTCAATAAATAGGTTTAGATTCTGAGGCAGGCCTGGGAGGAGGGGGTGTACGAAGGGCAGGATCAGCTGCCCAGGGATCCCAGCGATTCCCAGGCGATCTTCTGTCCTTCTCTAACAAGGGAGAAAATAAATAGACCTTCAACTCAGGAAGAGGAGTGTTGGAGCAGGGGAACCCTGTCCTTGAAGTTAGTAGTTAAGTCTTATGTTAAAAACAAACCAGCCCCAGCCCCTACCAGCATCTACAAAATCTACAGGATGTGTGAAGGGCCAGCCTGCATGGGGGTACACAGTACCCAGCCCTGCAGGGTCCTGGAAGAGGTCTCATGTCTGTTCTGCAGCTCCTGGGGCTCCCTCCTCCTTTGGGGGTGGCTCCAGGAAAATTGGGGTAACTGATGGTGGCTTCTTCACCCTGAGAAGATAAGAGAAATGTATAGGAAAGAAGTCATTAGCTATCTCCCCCAATCCCACTAGGCCCACCTTTCTCAGGACAGAAAAGGGCCACTCACGAGTAGGGAGAGGCTGGGACTCCCACCACCAGGAAGTGGTTCTTCTTCCGAAACAATCTCCACAGGCCCCGGTGGTTGCCACGCACATCCAGGTCCCAGATATGGAGGCACTGGTGGGGGTCGGGTGGGGGCAGAGACATGGTTCAGAGAGTGAGGGGTTGGGGGGCAGCCACTGAGGACCTTTGGCCCAGCCTCCATACTTCCTCAGCAGCTACCTCAATTTGTCAGAGGTAGCATCTTCTGGTATATGGATTTCGACAGGGAGTTTGGAAGAGGGGCTCTAAGAATATGAAGAAAAGGTTCTGAGGTTGAAGATTCCAGAACAAAGGCTCCCTGTATCTTGGGGCATCCTGGGGCAGTGTATGTGTGCGGGGAGGGGTCCTCCGGGGTGGGTGTGGTGTTGGAGCACCTTGGCAAGCTGGGTCCAGGTGGTGAAGTCATCATCTTTCTCCATTTGGATAAAGGCCACGTAGGTGTGGCCTTCCGTGTCCGGCAGGAAAGAGTCTTCACAGGGGTTCCTGCTGTGGTCCAGAACCTCCGCCTCGCTGCATGGGGTTGGGAGAGTCAGGCCAAGACAGGGTATGAGGTATGTGTCACACAGGGCCCTGTGCTTGGTTTAATGCTCTGCTGTTGCCATCCTGAAATTCTTAATAATTTCTGAACTAAGGGCCCTGATTTTCATTTTGCACAGGGCTCTGCAAATTATGGGGCCAAGATCCCCAGTATTTGACTCCTCACTCTCTGCCACACACTCCAATAGCCCTGGGCCATACCTCAGCAGCCTGTGAATTTCCACTTCATAGGCTTCTTTCTTCAGACTGAAGGGGAGGGAAAAATGGGTCAGGGAGAGCCAGGCCCTCAGGTCTCATGGGTAGCACTGAGCAGGGCAAGGGGTCATATGGGATTGGGAGCAGCAGGGCTGGGTAAACACACAGGGATTGGAAGGGACTTTCAGGAACTTGTCATCAAGTCTCTTCTAGATAATATCCTCCCCCTTGCCCTGCTGTCAGCCCCTACCTGTCCACGTTCCTGAGCTGGACACCTGGAACCGTGTTGAACTTGTGCTTCTTGAAGTAGGCCTCCTGGAATGGGCGTGAGGGTAAAATCAGGGCCTCACATTGTCTGGCCGACCACCACTCTGACCCACCACATATCTACGAGATGTACAAATGAAGTCCTAGACCTATAAAGGGCCCTCTCATTTCCTCATGTCTTCCTCATTCTCTTCACAGCATCCTTGGCAAGCTCTTACTAGCTTTAATTTGGGCTCCACCACTGCCGGAGAGCTCATGCCCTCGTGGGCAACTCACACTACTGACCAGTGAACCAGTTCCTATCTCCAGTGGTTCTCCCCGGCCCTGCTATTCTAGAGCCACAGAAGCCAGGAATACGCTCTGCAGGGGGTGATGGACAAACAGACAGGCTGGGCTGGAAGGGAAGACACTGCTGTGACTCAGGTAGTGAGAGTGACCTGAGGTAATTGCCTGGCCCTCTCTGGGAGACGAATGGGGCTTTTATATGAGCCAGCTTCTGAGTGTCCTTCTGGCTTCCAGGAAGTTCCAAGCTGGATGCTATCCATTCCTTTGGGCTGGGCTGGCTCAAGGCCTCCCTTGCCGTGACTGGAGAGTGGCCCTCTGGACACAGAGATGGGGTGTGGGGTCCTGGGGACCTCCTTGCTCTTCTCAGGCAGAGGCAGGGGCCCCAGCACTTGTAAGGACAGGAGAGGGTAGGACTTACAGGGCTGGACCAGTGCTTCGAGGCAGAAATACCCGCCCCACACCCACAGTCTAATGCTAAGAATAGTAAAAATAAAAATAATACCAGCCAACCCTTATATAATGGTTACAGTTCAACGAATTTTACATATATTAACTCATTTAAACCTCATAACCCTATGAGGGAGTAGTATTTCTATCCTCATTTTAGAGATACAGAAATTGAGGCAAAAAGGGAACAGTTATTTCCCCAAGATTACATGGCTAGCACGTGGCAGAGGTGCGATTGCTCCAGAGTCCACATTCTTGACCATCAAGCCATCAGGTGCCCCACCCGCTGCCTGCCACTCACATGGAAGTAGCCGTTCATGTTGAGGCCGACGATGCCAAAGTGGTAGGATCGGGAAACGTCAGGGATGATGCACTCTCGGCCCCGGCGTTGCTCAGGCATCCGCATCCACATGTCCCAGTCCCAGAGCTGGCGGGCGTGGAAGATTATGAAGGTTAAGACGTCTTAAGCTGGGAGGGGACTCCAGCCCACTCACCCTACCCTGCTGAGTACCTTTTCCGGTGTGGGCCACTTGGGCTCAAGCTCCTCCTTGTACAAGGATTTCCTGAGCACCCAACCCAACCCAGGCATGGTCTCCACACGGTATAGTAGTGCTGGGTCCTCAGCCGTGTGTTCATACCCCTGGGGGCAGGGGACTGTATTAGCTTGCAGCCTCAACAAACCCGCTTGCCAACCCCTGGCCACCCAGCCTACTTGGTCATTCCAGGCGGAGATGCAGTACAGGCTGTCATCCTCCTCCAGTAGGTGGATGGATTGGCTCAGGAAGCTGAGAGAGCCAGGGTCCAAGAGTCGAGAAAGGGGCAAGGACAAACCCAGTCACACAGTGATGCTGGAAGAGCTGCGATTCAGGAGTCAGCCCCCAAATCTCTGCTGTGTCCATTCATCCTTCTACCCTCTACTCCAGCCCCAGCACCCGCCATCCTGCCTCTGGCTTTCCCGCATTTTGAGCTCACTTCCCCCAGAAAGCTCCCAAGACACCCTGCTGCTTTTTCTCCTGGAGACCCAGGGACCTCATCTAAAACCTAGAAACCCCCCTCACCTGAAAAAATCCACAGCGATGTCCAGGTCCTCTTCCAGAACCACAGCAAACTTGGCCTCCTGTGCAGGGAGGGGAACATCGTGATCTTCGGGGGGCCTCTCCACCCTGTGGTCTCCTCCACCCATACCCCTCTTCTTTCAGGCAGCACTGCCCCGTTTTGCAGACTAGGAGGATGAGGCCCAGTGGGAGGAAGGGCTTGCTACATTACAGGACTAGACCTCATGCTCGTTTCTTCTCCCAAGGCCCAAGCGTAGTATCCTTGGTACTCACTGGAAACAGGTTGAATGTGGCAGTGAGGCTGGCCTTGTAGTGCTGGGAAGGAAGTGGGAATAGGGCACGTGAGCTCTGGGGTAGAGGGTGGGACCAGGGGTCTGCCCCTTCCATCCCTGCCTAGGCCGTACCTGAGACACGCGGGCATTCTTGATGCTGATGGGAGTGTGCTGGATGCCCCTCAGACCGAACAGCGCCACTACATCCATCGGTTCCTGGGGGCATGCCCACTGGTCACCATGTGAGGCCACTTTCCCCTGACTACTTCTGCAGGACAAGCCCTTCCCATTTCACAGCCCTTGCCAGTCCCCGGCAATCACTGCCACTGGAAATTAAGGTACTCAGTCACCCACAGCCCTGTACTCTGCTCCGCACGAGGCCCCCCAAGCCCCGCTCACCTCATAGTAGCCGTCGATGAAAACTGTTACCATCTGGGGAGACACCCCCTGAGCTGAGAGCAGAGAGCGCAGCATCCTGGGGAACCCAGGGATAGGTTAGGGCCTCTTTGTCCCCGCTACCTCAGGGCTCCCCTGTGTTTATAGAAGGGCCCAGATTCCCCGTTCTTATCCACATAGGTGAATGGGCCTAGAATCTGTTGCCTTTCTGCCCACCTCAGGAGTTCCTCCCATAGGTAGATGAGCGAAGCACCCTCCCACTTGCTAAGCACCCTCCTGTTCAGTGCTGCGTACAGCCCGCTCTCAGGCTCACCTGTACAGGTAATTGGGCCTGTTCCCTGCAATAACAGCCACAGGCACATTGAGGACCTTGTTGTCTGGGAGCTGTGAGAGAAACAGCTTTTAGCTCTTGGCTTTTTCCTCTTTCCGACCGGGATCCCCACCAAGGGAAGAGTTCTTGGGTGGGGCTGGGGGCAGATCCAGAGTAGACAGGGAAGGCGCAGAGGGTCTTCCCTCTTCTGGCTTCTCTATACTCTCAGCCCAACTCCAACCCTGGGTCTTGCTCACATGGCCTGTCCCTTCCCCTCTACCCTGTCTTTCAGAACTCAGTATAAATCCTCAGCTCTTGGTTACCTCTCTGGGATAGAGAGAACTCAACCTGGAACTTTTCTGGGTTCCCCTTGCTAAGCCGGGAAGGAGTCCAAACCTTCCTGCCTAAGGTACCACTCACTGGGTCAGGGCTGAACTCGATGGGTGTGGGGTCCTTGCAGCTGCACACACTCCCATAGCCCTCAACTTTGCCGCAGAAGCGCCGGCGGCGACGGTTCAGCTCTGTGTCTGCCCAGTGGCACTCTGCCTCTGAGAAAGGAATGTAGTTGACAGGTTGGAGGCATGAGGCCAGTGTGGTTTGAAGAGCCCCCAGCACAGTCAAGGGAATAAAGTCCCCATAAAGAGGATCTAAATGCTGCTCCCCCCACCCCTGCCCCCACCCCCAGCCCAGGCTCTGCCCCAGAGGCCAGGCCCCACTAACCCCACCTTCAGCTGAGCTCAGTGGCACATCTGTCTTCAGCAGGACTGGGTCCCCCCAGGAGGAGAGGGCAGGTGACTTAGAATGTTTCTCCCCAAGGACAGGACCTGGCAGGAGGCAGGAATGAGGGGTCGTGGGGGCCCAGACTCCAGTTTTAGGGCATCTTCCCATCTCCCTGCCCACTTGCATCCCACCGCTGCCACTGGCTCCTATTTGCCCCTACTCCACCCCACCTCCTGGGGTTCTGCTCCTCCCAGGCCCTTGATACTACAGAGTGGATGGCCTCTGACCTCCTTTTCGTCCCACGAAGGCCCAGGTGTCCCTCCAGCCCAGGGCAGGGCCGGCCTGGCTGCCCAGGCTCCGCAGCAGAGCCTTGGCCGTGTCCTTGAGGTGGAAGGAGCCCTCATCCTGGGAGAACAGAGGAGGTGGTCAGCCTGACTGGCACGGTTCCAGGAAACCTGGCCTCACGGAGCATCGACTGTGTACCAAGCACTACGTAAAGCCTTGACTTAAATTAGCTCATTAGATTATCACAACAGCCTCTGTGGTTACTCTCTTTCACAGATAAGAAAACTGAAGGGTTAGAGAGATTCTGAGACTCATCCAAGGTCTAGTAAGTCCTTACCACAATCCCATACAATTGCCACCCTGCTCTCTTTCCCTGCCAGCTCTCTGCCTCTTTCCCACCACTCTCCCCTCCTCCCTTATTCTGCTCCAGCTCCACTGGCATCTTTGCTATTCCTCAAGCATGCCAAGCACTCCCCACTCTGGGGCCTCTGTACTTGCCATTCTTTCTACCCAGAATGCTCTCCCTCCGGACATCCACCTGGCTCACTTCTCACTTCCTCCAGCTTTCTGCTCCCATCTCATCTCCTTACAGAGGCCTTCCCTTTCTAAAGTGCATCCCCATCGTGCTGTCTCCCTTGCTTTATTTTGTTCTTCATGTATGTTACCATATCCTGACATCATACATTTATTTATCTGGCTGTTTTTGTTGATCTGCTCCTGCTGGAATGTAAGCTCCACAGGGTAGGAACTCTCTTGCTTCCCATCGTATCTCCAACACCCAGAGCAGTACCTGGCATACAGTAGGTGCTCAATAACTATTTACTGAGTTAATAAAAATGACAAGGCTAAGTTTAGAATCTAAGTCACCTTCTTCCAGAGGATCTTCCCACTATGCCGTATTAGGGGTGGAGAACCCAGGGCCATGAGCAGGGTTGGGCCAGAGGCATAGGGGACGGGGCCAGGGCAGAATCACTGACCTTGACGGTGCAGATGAGCACTCGGCCGGGCGCCACCATGTTGAGAAACAGCACCATGGCCTCATCCTCATGAGGTGAGTATGTGTCAAACACTCGCTTTGCCATCACGTGGCCCTGGCAGGGGACACATCTCTCAGGAGTTAGCGTCACTAGCAAGAAGAGCCCAGCTTCAGCCCTCTGGGTCTTCCACCCCGAGAAGCTCACCGTGGCCTGGTTGAGGACGATGACATGGATGCCCCGACCTTGCTCCCGGGCCTCATCCTCCAGTACCTACACGGTAGCAGAGACAACGTCCAACTCTTCACTCAGGCATTCAAGGAGTCTCTGTTTTATGGGCACTTAAAACACCAGCTGCACGAAACCTCCCCTCCTGCCTACGCCTCTGTTCACACAGTTCTCTTCCGACTCAGCTTGAAGGCCACCTCTTCCAGAAAGCCTCCACAGCACCCCCATCAGAAGAGATCTCATCTTTCAACAACTCCCCCTCCAGGACTTTCCTGGCTCTTAGAGCCTTCACTGTCTCTGCTTCATCCTGGAAGTATCACAGTCTCCATCACACTGAGCCCCTTGAGGTCGAGCCAGGTCTGATTACCTCCAGGTCCCCAGTGTCCAGCATAAGGCTGAGGCCAAAGAAGGGATGAAGGAGTGATTATGAAATAAATCAATGAATTAACTGCCTACTAAGGTGAATGATCACTTTTGAGATCCCACTACACGTACGACATTTCACACACTTTACGTTTAATCCTGACCAGTAGAAATCATCAGTTCCAGTCTATGGATAAGGATGTGAGTGCACCAAAGTCACACAGCTAGAAATTGGCAGAGCTGCAGTTTCCACTTTGGGCGGTAGACCCCGCAGCCAGTGAACCATGCCCTGAGTAGAATGAGTGACTGTACACCAGACTCCGGCCCACTCACCGTGGTGCCATCCACTGCCACATATACTTTGCTGCGGCTCGAGTACACTTCCACGTCCAGGACCCGCCGGGGACCACTGCCTCTGCGCCGTGGGGGCTCCAGGTGGCCTAGGGCCTCATCTGTGGGAGTGCAACAGGTCATGGAGATGGTCTCCCCATCGGAGTCACACCCCTTGAGATCTGTCTGCCACTCAGCTGTGAGGGTCCCCACCCCATCCTCAGCCTGGCCCCACCATAGTCTTGCTCTGGCTCCGGGTCATCATTGGCTTCGCTGATTGCTCGCCGAGTGTCCAGGATCAACTTAATGTTGACAATGACGGTCACCAACAGGAAAAGCACGGCCCCTGTCTGACGGGAGGGGTGGGGATGATTAAGAGGAGCACCTTCTCCAGCTCATAAAGGGTCCTCCGGAAAGGAGGGCCCTGGCTGCAGTGAGGGCGTAGGGAAAACCTGGGACCTGTCTCTTGCTCTGTCTGCCTCTGAACGCTTTTACTCCCTTGACCAGGGGCTAGTTTCATGGCCATCTCCTCAGGAAACTCCCCTGGCCCTTCCCCCCTCCGTCAGGGCCCTCCCTACCCAGAGATCCTGTATTCTTCCACTTGAGGTCTTGATTTTCTTGGTCCCCTCCATAGTTAGTTCCTAGAGATGGAGCCAGGCCCAGCGAACCAAGCTGGGGATCAGAAGACCTGGGTCCTAGTCCTCACTGCCTGACAGGCGTGTGCCCCTGGGCAAAGCCTTCCTGATTAGACTTCAGGTTTCCGTCAGAAGCCTAGGAGTTTGTACTTGGGTTCTGATTCCAAAACTCTGGGTCCAAACCACTACCTGGTAGGAACACGACACACTGAAGTTTCCCCTCTAGGAACCAGCTGCCCCCTTCCAGCAGAGGGGGGCCAAGGTGGGTCCCAGTGCCCAGTTTAGGCTGGGATAAAGCTGGGAGGGAGCCGCTGGGAGGTTTGGAACTTCTCTATACCTGACAGAATCTCCGCAGGGCCCGCTGGTTTGTCAGTTTATACTTCCAGGTAAGATACCAGCTCCGCTTCTTCCGAGCCCCAAAGGGCTTGATGAGGGGACTGGGTTTCCAGTCATCCATGCTGGATTGGGGGGTCACCAGTGTCCTGGACAGCCCATGACTTCAGGAATCTGAGGAGACCGGCCGGGTCACATGGGGTAAGGTGCTCCTCCCAAAGTCTGATGCCTTCTGGGGAGCTGAGGGAGGACTTCCCGGCAACTCTTCCCTGCAAGCAACCATGCTGTGTGACCTGGGGAAAGTGGCTCGACTTCTCTGAGCCTGGCAGGAAAACCTTCAGAGGGGTTGGATCACCTGGAAATTCCCCGGGACTGGGGAAACTATCTGAGTCAAGGCTGCCCAGGGCCCCAGGGGTGGAAGCCAAATAATCGGTTCTCAACGTTCATTAGCCCCTAACATGACCAAGCTCTAGGCTTCGGTGGCTAAAAGCACAGCGACCCCCCCCCCGCCCAAATCCTCCACCCTCGCCCCATCCTACGTGGCCCCGTTCTTCTCCTCCCAGGGCCGGGGCCGCTCGAGGGCTGGGGAGACCTGCCCCGGCCGCGCTACCCTCCCGGACCCCCACCCAGAGGCACTCACGGCTCAGGGCCCCCAAGCCCCGCAGGGGCCCCACTCGGGCCCGCACTGCTCGGCCCCGCGCGCCGCGGCCTCCGCCTCCTCCATGCCGCTCGCGGCCCCGCCCCGGCCCGGCCGGGCCCGCCCCCCAGCTTCCGCCGCCGCCGCCGCTGCGGGGTGAGAGGGCGGCGGGCGGTGCTTAGAGCGGTGGCGGCGGCGGCGCGTTTGTAATACTCAGACCCTTCTCGGCAGCTACGCTGCCCGGTTGGCGGCTGGGCTGCTGAGCGAGAGCGGCCCGCTCCCCGGCACCGCCGATGGCAAACGCTACTCGAGGCAGAGGCAGAGCACCTTGGACCAGATCACACAGCACCCCGGGGGCAGAGTGGCTGCTGGCCTCGCTCCCAGCCCGTACCCCGTGTGGGCAAGGCGATAACCCAAACCTATGGTTTGCACAGCCATTGGAGGCAAATGGGGATTAAAATCCAGGTTCTACCACTGTTCTAAGGACTTTAATGATACCTTTTTTTTTTATTTCAAGGTATTACGGGGGTACAAATATTTTTGGTTACATGGATCACTTTTACAGGGCTTGAGTCTTGGTTATAAGTGTGCCTGTCACCTAGATAGTGTTCATTGTACCCATTAAGTAGGTTATCGCCCATCCCTTTCTCCCTCCTGCCCCCTGCTTGATTTCCGTTGAGTTTTACTTCCCTGGGGACTTTAATGATACTTAATTCCACAACAACTCCATGAGGTAGGCACTATTATTATCCCAATGTCACAAGCTGAGAGAGCTGGAATTGAAACCCAGCCTGGCTCCAGATTCAGCTCTTAACCACTGCACTCTACTGGCAATACTAATATTTAGAAGAGTCGTGAGGTTTGAATGGGATAATGTATACAAAACATTTTGCTTAACAGGATGGTTCCCAAACTTTTAGCTTGCATCACAATCGCCGGAAGGGCTTGTTAAAGTAGAGTACTGGGCCCATCCTAGAGTTTTAGATTCAGTATTGGGGCAGGATGGGATTTTGCGTTTCTAACAAGTTTCTAGATGATGTTGATGCTTGTTTGAAGTGAGTGGGTAGCCATGGAACAGGGGAGCAATATAGTCCAATTTATGTTTTAAGGTAACCTTTACTATTTTGTGGTGAATGGATTGCAAGGAGACAGGGAGACAGAAGACCAGTTAGATTTTTTTGAGCTCTCCCCATTCTATCTTCTTCCTGAATGGTGGGATTGTATCTCCCAAAATGTTAATAGTACTTGTCTTAGTAGTTGAAGCAACGGGTGATTTTTTTCCCCCTAATAGGTATGTTTTAGAATGAAAGAAAATTCAACACATTTTATTAGCATTTTGAAAAGATGTCCCTCAGGGTTCCTTCCTGACCCTCTTTTCTCCTCAAACTCACTCTGCATGGAACAGCTCATTCATTTTCATGACCTTTGTTACCATCTAGATTCCCAAACTCACACTGGCAGTCCTAACCTCTCTCCCGAGCTCCTGGCTGACTGTTGTCCACCTGCTGCTGGGCAACTTCACGGCCCCTCCAACTCAACACCAAGATTGCTGGAATTCATCTCCTCCCACTCCCAGATCTCTTTTGGGTTCCCTTGGTGAACTGCATCAGGCCAAACAGCTGGGAGTCACCTTGACTCCTTGTCTCTCTCCAGGGACTGGCCCAGGTTTGTTTGCTCAACTCTGTATTCTACACACCATACACAATGGCTAGCACATAGTAGCCTCTCCATAATATTTGTTGAAATCATTCATTTGTGTTTTTTAACAAATATTTAATTTGAATGCCACTATAAATGAATGTAATCAGTCACCCAGTTCTGTCAATCTTACTTCCTAAAGAGCCCTCCATTCTGGTCTAATTCTTCTCCAACCTCACAGGCAGCCCCTTGGTCTAGGCCATTTCCATTTCTTGCCTTCCAGCTAATCTCCTTGATGCTAGATTTTTACTCCTGCAATCCTTTTCTCCTTGCAAAATCCAGAGTAATTTTTCACAAAGGCAAATGTTTTGCTAATTACTAATGTAAAACCCTTCCGTGCATGGGTCAAGAAATACTAAGAAAAGGCCAGGCATGATGGTTCACGCCTGTAATCCTAGCACTCTGGAAGGCTGAGGTGGGAGGATCACTTGAGCCCAGGAGTTTGAGATTGCAGTGAGTTTTTTTTTTTTTTTTTTTGAGACAGAGTCTCACTGTGTTGCCCAGGCTAGAGTGCCGTGGCGTCAGCCTAGCTCACAGCAACCTCAAACTCCTGGGCTCAAGCAATCCTGCTGCCTCAGCCTCCTGAGTAGCTGGGACTACAGGCATGCGCCACCATGCTCAGCTAATTTTTTGTATATATTTTTAGTTGTCCAATTAATTTCTTTCTAATTTTAGTAGAGACGGGGTCTCGCTCTTGCTCAGGCTGGTTTCGAACTCCTGAGCTCAAACAATCCGCCCGCCTCGGCCTCCCAGAGAGCTAGGATTACAGGCGTGTGCCACCGCGCCCGGCCTGCAGTGAGTTTTGATGATGCCACTGCACTCTACCCAGGGCAACAGAACAAGAGACTCTGTCTCAAAAAACAAAACAAAACAAAACAAAAAACCTAAGAAAGCATATGTTACTTAAAATTACAAAGGTAACCATTAGGTGAACTAAAAGTAATGACAGAAATATATAGGGCTAATGGGGGAGGAAAGTATGAGTATAGAGTGTGAATTAAGTCCATATATCCATATTTATCTTAATAGGAAGTCAGTAGACAATGTTTAAAATTGAGAAGTAGTGTGGCTGGGCATGGTGGTGTACTCCTCTAATCCCTGCTCTACTCAGTAGGCTGAGGTGGAATGATGGCTTGAGCCCTGGAGTTCAAATCCAGCCTGGACAACATAGCAAGACCCTGTCTCTAAAAAAGAAAAAATAACAAAAATAGTGGTATAAGGCTATTATTTAGAGTTATGAGTAAAAATGCCAGGGGAAAAAAATCAAAATGGTTGCTAATGGGGAGTGGGCCTAGAGCTGTGAAAGGGTAGGGCAGGGGTAATTATCTTTTCATTGTAAATCCTTCTGTAACCATGGGCTGGAATTAGTTGGAGTCAAAGCCAAAACAAACCAAAGTTTTTCGTGGCTCCTCATTGCTCATAGAATAAAATCCAAACACTTTAGAACCATCTTCTATAACCTTGTTACTCAAAGTGTGGTCCCTGGACCAGCAACATGACCATCGCCTGGGAGCTTGTTAGAAATGCAGACTCTCAGGCCCCACCCCAGATTTACAGAATCAGAGCCTGCATTTTAACAAGATTTGCAGATAATTCATATGCACAATCAAGCTTAAGAAGCATCTTGTAAGGCCAAGATCAAGCCCATGTGGATCTCTTCAGCTTCACCTCTGCTCCGCACGGGTTGCGCCTTTCTGCTTCTTTAGTCTGAATTCTAGCCTGGGTGGGAAGCTAAATTCCAGCCATCAATTTAGACCCATTTCATCTGCTCCAGGAAGCCTTCCAAACCTTCTGCAACTCTCTTGTACCACTGTTCCTTAAACTCCCACATCCCTGACTGACCGAAGCTGCTGTCTTCATTCAGCAAACTTATTTATTGGGCGCCGACTCTGTGCCTGGCCGGATTCAGTGCCAGGATGAGCGAAGGCGCTGAGGTCTCCCAGTATTCCTTGACATCCAAATCCAGGATTGCCCAGCCCCACGCCACCCAGGGACAGAAGTTGTGTGCGCAGCACTCGGATATATATCTACACACGGTGCTGCGCGGCTTTTCTGAGTGTTACGGTGCCCTCCTCCCGCCCCCGCACCGCGCGGGCGGGGACCCACCGGTTCCGCTCGGCTGTAGCCGCGGAGAAGGGAGGACCCCTGGGAGCGGGACCCCGGCGTCCGATCGCCCAGCCCTGTTCAGGCTTGGGCCCGCATGGAGGGGACAGTGGAGTCCCAGACACCTGACCTGCGAGACGTGGAGGGCAAGGTGGGCAGGAAGACCCCTGAAGGGCTGCTCCGCGGGCTGCGCGGCGAGTGGGAGCCAGGAATCTCTGGCGCCCTGCTGCTCCCGGCTGAGCCTAGCTCGGGCCACGGCCTGGGGGACAAGATCATGGCGCTGAGGATGGAGCTGGTGAGTGTGGACTCTACGGGCCAGGGAGATGAGTCCCCATCGTAGGACCAGAAGGGACTAACTCATGCCCCCAGACTTAGGCTGGAGAGGAAGGAGTTAAAACTCCCCACCTAACTCCTCAGGATCCCTCCCAGATCAATCCATAAATCCTGGGATGGAGGGTAGTGACGTCCATTAATTGCCCCCCCCCCCAGGATGAGTGGGGTGTTTGTTGATGGGTCCTGGGGACTTGGGGTGGGAGGCACAGGCTCTTGGAAGTTTTTCCTGTCAAATAACTGGCAACGGGGAGGTGAGGGCTGGGAAGTTCTGAGAACATAGTGCAGCATAAATCCTCCCCCACCCGTACCGGGCCACCTCTTCCCCCAGCCCCTGTGTGTAAGGCAACCAACCAGTTTTTCTCCTCCTGCCAACTGGGAAAGGGTTTGGTTCCTGTGAGGCAGTGGTGCTCTTCAGCACAGAAGAGATTTGGGTAAAGGGCATATCTGCTGAAAACTGCCTGGACTAGGGGCACTGAAAACATCCTCCCTTTCCTTAACATCTCTCCAGCCCCGCTTAAAATACTTGAAAGTTCCTAGAGCCATCGCAGGGACAGTAGTGGCAGCACCATCGGTGTTTATTCCCTCACCTCCGACTCAGTCTCCTCCCTGCCAGCCCCCCTGGTAAACTGGATATTTGGATCTCTTCTGTACCTGCCTGGGGAGGAGAAGAGGAAGCAGCAACCCTCCTCTTTCCCTTTTGCTGCCGGTCTAGATTCAGAGCCCGAAGGGCAGCTGGGGCTCAGCAGGCTCCCCAGAGCTGCATTCCGGTGAAGCGGGTGATTTACACCTGCCACCACTTTGCAGCCAGTTCTGGGGAACTGAGGAATTGCTAGCCACTCCTGGCCCAGAACCAGGAGCTCACAAGTGACTATGTCAGCTAATAAGTCTTCCTGGAGCCCCACTGTGTGCCCAGCTCTGTGCCAGGCTGCTCTGTGAGGGAGCAGAAGGAGGAGGTCATGGGGGTTCCCAGACAAGCCAGGGCTCTGACCTTCTGAGATGGCGGGCGGGAGGAGAGCCTGGTTGTGGAGCAGTCAGGGAAGGCTCCCTGGGAGGACTGGAATGCCAAGTGTGTACTTAGCCTTGGAGGTCGGAGGTGAATGCCAGTTCTCCAGAGTGGGGCTGTGGCTGTACCCACCTAAGCAAGGAGGAGGGCCTGGCTTTGCCTCATTGTACAAACTGTAGATCAAGGCCTAAAAAGAGCCTACTTAGACTGTCTTGCTTTGAAAACTTTCACCGCATGCATGTGCCAGGCATCATGCTGAGCACTTTACATGATATTCTCTTCATCTTCACAGCAACCCTATTAGGTAAGTGATAATTTATAGATGAAGAAGCTGAGGCACGGAGAGATTAAGTAACTGCCTGAGGTCATGCAAAAAGTAAAAAGCAGGCCAGGCATGCACCCATAATCCTAGCACTTGAGGAGGCCAGGAGTCCAAGACAAGCCTGGGCAACATAGCGAGAACTTGTCTCTACCAAAAAAAAAAGTAAAAAGCAGAGTCAGGATTTGAACCCAGATCATCTGATTACATTTTACATCTTTACATTGAGACCTGCTTAGTGCCAGACACTTTAAACACATTGTATGCCATCAAAATGAGAAAAGGGATCATTATTTCCCCCGTCTCACGGGTGAAACACGCTAGCAAGTGTTCGGGGGCTTGTCTGAACTTACACACGGAGTCAGCGGAGGAGCCACACCCAGTCTCACTGGCTCTCTTTTCTGCCTTGGTGGAAACTACCTGTTTGTAAACTTTAAGGGGGCACATTGGACTCTGATTTTGTCTCTCTGTATTCTTGACCCAGCTGGCCTGGGGCCTGAGGCTGCCTGTGAAGGGAACAAGGGAGGGAACCTTCTGGGGCCAGAGCAGGGGGAGGATCCCTACCCCATTCCTTTCTCCTCCTCAGGCCAAGATGTCATTAATCTCTTCCTGTGCTCTGCCCTGCCCCACTGGGTTGTACCCAGGAAGGACAAGGGGTGGGGCAGGGGGTTTCCCTAGGAGCCACTGGAGGCAGGCCTGGTCCAAGCCCTCTACGGACTGTCCTTCAGTTATCCCTCTCCCAGCTCTCCTTGCAGGCAGTGGGCAGGCCTGCCCATGAGGCCAAGGCCAGTCCTGCCTTTGGGCCTCTTTCCTCCTGCCCACATCCCCTTCATTCAAAGGTTGAGTGAACAGGCCAGGCTGGGATATGTGGCAATGGGAAACGATGGCAACCTCCCCTCCTCAGTTCTCCCACCCAAAGAACTGTTACTACGACAACCCACCTCCACAGAGCAGTCTGACAAAAAGCTTTCGGCAAGGAAGGGGAAGACATGGGTTCAAGTCCTGCCTCTGCTTCTGAAACATTTTGTGGTCTTAGCAAGACCCTGTTTCTCTCCTGGCCTGTTTTTCTTCCTTGTGGTGGGGGGAGTATAGGGAGGTGGGGATTGTGGAACCAGATGATCTGTAGGAGCCGTTCAGTGACAATATTCTGACAATCAACCACCAGGGAGCTAGGACTGGGATCTCTAAGCTTTTACCCCAGGGCCTGATTTGGATTGAGCAAGAGGGAGGCATACCGGGACCCCAGGGCTGGGAGAGAGCCTGATATATAGATGTTAAGGGCAGGAGCAGAGAGATTGAATCCCCCCTGGGAAGAGAATTGGGTTGGGGTAGCCACTGAGGCTGCATCTCTCCTGAGCTGTATATCCTTTACTCCGTTTCCAAGAGATGGTGTGAAATGAGTGTTTCTTTTTCTGGCAAGAAAGCCTTGCTTTTTTCTATTCTGGGGAGTGATGCTGTCACAGTCAGGGAATCCCACTGTCACAGGATTATAGAATCTGGTCCTCAGATTCATTTCCCAGCAACACAGGATAACCCAGCACCCTGAACCCTGGCGACCACCAGAGGGACCAAGGAGAGGAAGGGCAAAAGAATCACAGAACTGAATGTGACCTACCCAACCCTAGGCTGAGCACTAGAAATGAATTGGGCAGGACATGCTCTCAGGGAGCTCATTCAGTCTGGTTAGGGAAGAGGGGAGAGAGATTAACAACTCTAATATAGGATGATAAGTGCTGTTGGAATGCAGGAAGGGCCTCCTGGAAGAGCTTTGACCATAGAGTGATATGGCTGGGTCTGGCTCTGGAAAGGCCACTCAGATTAGAAGGAGGAACAGGCTGTCTCCTCTGGTTGGAATGCTTCTCTCCACTTCTTTGGCTAAGTCCTACTTAACCTTCGGGTCTCCGCTCATGTCCCTTATCCTAGGGAGCATTTCCTCACCTCCCCCAGTTGGGTTATGGCCCTCTAGGTACCGACAGCCCTCTGTGCAGCACTTGTTTCCCCCGGCATTTGCCACACTGAATTTTAAGAGCTTGCTTCATTATCTTATCTTACCCACTAGACTGTGAATCCTCTGAGGGTAAGAAATGGTGCCTTTTCTTCCTTCATTTAACACTGTGCCACACCCACAATAAACACTCACTATTTGTCCCATGCCTGAATGCATTAATTCCATCTTGAGGAAGAACAGGGAAGACTTCCTGGAGGAGGTAGCATTTGAGCTGGGCCTTGAAGAATGAATGAAGTCAGTGGGAATTCCAGTTCAAGATGGCAGATTGAACATATGCATTTACTTCCATTCCCTCCTGAAACTTCCCTAAAAAGCCAGTAGAAGGATTATGTTAAAAAGGCATGAAGCAATTATGACAATGAAAATAAGATGATAGGAACAACATTTTGGAAGCTGAACTGCAGCAAGAAGAGTGGTAACTAATTCAGACCTGAAAAAAGCTGAGTCCCAAGCCAGCAGTGGAGAAAGCTGAAGAGCAACCCATTTTGTACTATGAAAACCCTCAAAGGTTTCAGGAGTTGGAAGCACTAGGTATTTCTGGAACTGGGGGCACAGGTGGGGCTGAAAACAAAAGGGTTGGTTGAATATTTAAGAATCATTCTAAGCCAGGCAAGATGGCTTACACCTGTAATCCCAGCCCTTTGGGAGGCTGAGGCTGAAAGGTTGCTTGAGGCTAGGAGTTCAGGACCAGCTGAGCAACATAACGTCCTGTCTCTACAAAAAAATAAGAAAAATTCCCTGGGTGTGGTGGTGCATACCTGTATTCCCAGTTACTCAGGAGGCTAAGGCAGGAGGATCACTTGAGCCCAGAAGTTTGAGGCTTCAGTGAGCTATGATCACACCACTGCATTCCAGCCTGAGTAACAGAGCGACACCTGTCTCAAAAAAAAAAAAAAAATCACATTCTAAGATCCCTTCCCTTACTGTGCAACCAGGTACCAGCTACTCCTTTATCAAGCAGAAGACTGGAGATAAAAGTTTTGGAGAGAGAAGGAAAAAAGGGAGGGATGTTGGAAGGAAGGAAAGAGGAAAGGAGGGAAGAAAGGGAAAACATAGCAGATGTGTTTTTAGCATGTGGAGTTTTGGTTAATGCATTTAGTTTGGTTGTGGAGTAGGATTGTTGTTTTTCACTGTTCGTGTATTTGTCCTCAGAATGAAAGAATTGAAGATAATCTCCTTTATCATGTTATTCATAGTCTATACAATCTGTGTTGTCTCATTTATGTGCATCTCCCCTTATTGAGACTGCAAGTTTTTGTTGAGCAGGGATAATTTCTCTATTATCTTTGTAATTATTAGAAAATCCGTATACCAAATAATCATTTGTTTAATTGAACTAGAGTTGTGATATTCTTCCAAAAACACAAATAATTTCAGGTATAAAATTTTGCTCTATGCTTTTGCCATAGTGTTTAGAAAAACCCAAACCGTATTTTTCTTATTTTTTCACTTAATACAACACAACAATAATCATTCACACGTAAGACTTTTGTGGCCCCAAATGTGTGAGAATTTCTCCCCACCAGCAAGCAAGCAATCAATTCTGCAGCAGACACCCGTGGGGTGTCCTCTCATTTAATTCTGACACTGTCTACCTGGAGAGAGCGTCAGATCCCACAGGTTGAGGGCTCC